ATGTGGAAAGAGACAAGAGAGTGATCAAAGCTCCAAAGAGTTTGGAAGATTACATGACATAATTGGAGGTGATCCTATAAATATAGGGAGTGGGTTGGCAAATTAGATTCTGTTAACTATGGAAGGGTAGGATGGGTATAATTGTGTTATGGTAAGTAATGTATGAGTCTGTTATAAATTCGATTGTATTCCATCCTTTGGAATTATTAATGAAATTATCCTTCTTTCACTTTCGCTTCTTAGAGGTTCTCCGTCCTTCACAAATAGAGGTCACAAAAATCATCAAAGATCTTCAATTTGGTGCAATTGCTAGTTACTCTTTATTATGGTAGCTTATGTGAACTACGAATGTGGGGCTTCTTATTCAGCTTTTGTCAGTGAGATTAAGTGTTGCTACAGGGAGACATTTGGATGAACTTTCTAGAAATAAGTATTGGATTGTTCTTTGGTTGATGACTGAAGTCGTGCTTATTGGTTCTGATATTCAAGAGGTATTGGAGCTGCTATTGCCATTATGATTTGGAATATATGATTGTTCCCTCACTGCATGTTATTTATAGGGTCACGTTGCCCCTTACTTATACATGTTCATGTTCGTCTGACAATTCTATTAATGAAATTCTGAACACTTTAACCTCTTTAAAATTGAGTTGAAGTCTCTGAAACGTATCACAGAATAAGACGTCAGCAAAACTACTAGTATCTATTAATTCTCACTTTATATCCCCATTTCAATGTTGTACAGTGATGACCATAGGGTCATTATCATGAAGGTTAGTTCCAATAGCACCAATATCAAAAAAGGCGATGTTAATCCATGTTCCCCCTTGTTCATCCCTATGCAACCCATAAGATATTACATTTGCAGCAAACACCTTCCTTCGGGAGGAGCTGGAGCTTCCTCCACCAGCTATGGTGTTTGTATTAGAACGTGGAGTTTTATTGGCTATTTTCACGAGGAAGATGAAACGAATGAGAATGAAAGAGGTGTTTTCCAAGTTAGTTTTACCTAGACCCCAAGGTGGACTCCACTATACTAGTAAAATAGTACAAGTTTGTGTGGTATCCCTACAAGGGTAGGGATACTCAGAGGCCTTACTAGGTTTATAACAATTTTAGGATGGTAGAGACTTTCCCCATGAAGGCGAGAAGTCTTGTACTGTGATGTTACCGTGTTTACGGTTTTCTGATAGGCCAACTCAAGTGAGGTGAGAGGCTCTATATACAAGTGTGTTAATTTAGTTATTGTGTGTAAGTTATGAGATGCCCCTTTCTCTCGTTAGGGAGAAGTATTTATAGAGACCTTTGGATCTAGGGTTTCCTCAAGAAAGATCACCACCCCCACCTAGTTAATGGTGGATCGTTAAATCCCTACTTTTTAAGAAGGACGTGGATCAGCTACTGACCCAGACTTCTCTCCCATAACTGAGAAAATGGGGGTATTTGGGGCGAGGTGAGACCTTCTCGAAGGTGAAATATGGTCGTCGCCTCTCCTAAGGGTTGTAAAGTCCACGCCCTTATTAGTGCATTTACAAATATAACACTACAAAATTGAATTTAGGTTCATAGTGATTATTGACACTAACGTTGTAAGCCTAAAATAGAATAATTGTTCAAACTTAGTAGTTGGTTTATGAATAAATAATTATAAGTTTGTGATTTAGAAATTAACGAACATTCTTGCTTATTTTTACTTTGAATTCACCTAGAGAATTAAGGAGTTGTTTTTAAGAGGCGTGAGTTATACACCAAGGAATTAGGTATAACAATTGTTTTAATTAATTTATCATAAGTCTTGAAAATCATTTTAAAAAAATAGACGTAGTTACCAACAATGATAATCAGTGGACTCAAAATGAAATTTGATCGCTTTATCAATCTTGTGTTTTCCTACAATTTCATTCTTGCAATTTATTTGTTTGCAGAGTCATTGTGAAAACCTCCTATTTAGTTTCATAAGATACTAATCACAATCACCTTGTTAAAATAACATAATCCCTGTAGAAATAAATTTATAATTTTATTACTTCAATACAATTAATACACTCATCATCAACTTCTAATCTTGCTATAATTAGTCTAGTTTGAAAAATACATTGGATAGAAAGTAACATTTTTGGTTTATTTTGACAACATATGACATTGTTGATATTTGGATAAAAACTTTCAAAGCTAATATATATATATATATATATATATATATATATATATATATATATATATATATATATATATATATATATATATATATATATATATATATATATATATATATATATATATATATATATATATATATATATATATATATATATATATATATATATATATATATATATATATATATATATATGATACACGATGTATACTGTAGTATTTTGGATCGAACTCTAGTGTCGACAAAGGTAATTTCATGGTTCGACATAATTTGTGCATGCTGGAGTCGAAGTCTGTTCAATCATGCTGTCGAAATATGTTAACTTTGTGTTTAAGTTAACATATCGAATTAGGTTTTGCTTGTAAGTTAGCTTATTAGTCTATAAATAGATTAATTCTCTCAAATTATTGAGAGGTTAATTGTTAGTATTTACTTGTAATCTTCGAACCCTTATTGAATAAGTGAATAATAAAACAGTTTTAACCAATTCTTATTATTTTTCTTCCTTCTTTTCTATCTTTTGTAAAACCTAATGGAATTTATTATGTTTATTCAAAAAACTCAATATTTTTCTCATATTTTAATTTGTTCTTGACGACATCAATTCACAATATATACAATAGTATATATAGAGTTAGGGGTGGACTACAGATCAGGTTGTCGGGGTCAAAAACCTCACCCAGTCCAACCCGCAGGGAGCCATTTCAGCTCATTTCCACCCAATGTTTTAATCGCTTTAGACGAGTTGGTTGGGAGGTGTCACATGTTATTACAGCCAGTTTAATTGGGTTATTGGACTGATTTTTTTGTTGAACCAAATAACATATTTTGAGGTAAAAATTACTACAACTAAAATCCAATATAAATCTTAATTACCAATAACTTAAATCCAACATAAATCTAATGGCCTATCATCAATGACCTTAACATAAATCCAACATAATCCAAATCCAAAGTACTTGCACCTTAAATTCAAAATCAACATAAATACAAATTACAGCAAATTAAAACTTAAAAAGTAACAGTATTATAAACTAGTATCAATGGTCTACCAATAAGAATAACATCAATAACTTGAATAGCAAAGACATCCCCACTCCACCCTTAAACCCAACATGAGCAGCAGGTCTAAATATGCTTCAAAAGATGTTTGACAATCTAAGAATAAGATTCATTTAGCCAATGAAAATCTTTGACATTCTGCACCAAATACAATTGGTTAGTGAACGCCATTTTATTATTCTATAATGTACTAATAAGGAGAAAAGTTACATAATTTGTCGTTCATAAACATGAGTACATAGAAGCTGACAAATTCACCAATTCAATTCTTCATTTCTTTGCTAGTGAATGATTAAAATAAAAGAATTATCTATTATAGATTATGATTAACCTGTGTGGAGATTTTCATTTTTTAAAGACATTGTGTTGGAGCCACAAGTTCTTCTGGTGGGTCTGATACTCATAAATGTGTTTGAATGGACTAAAGGTGAAAACAATAGGTGCAATGTGTTCACCATTTTTCATACCATCAACAGAGTTTCCAGACATCATAAAATTTGAATTGTCATCTGATTATTACATTGAACTAATAAGTATAGAATCTTGAAAATGGTACTAGTTAACAATGTATGACATGTTAGTGTTTTTCTATAAACAAAAATAATATTTGAATAGTATTAATTAATACTAAAACACATTCCCAAACAAGTCCAAATCCAGCTATCTCACCCCATTCATAGCCTTCAACTTGCTACATACAAACAAGGCAAAAATATCCCTATGATGCAAGCCCCACACCCCATTACTCTCTTGCTAGTATGAAATTGACTCAATTTAATTCCATATAACGTTTATCAACTCAACATCTACCAAGAATTGTAACAATCAAATAATAATATGGTGAATTGAATTTTAACAGCAATCAAGCATATGATCATACCTGAATTCGAACATAATTAGTACTCTAATAATGACCGAACGACATGGCGATGACAACAACCTTGTAAAATAGTTTGTATATGGTTTGCATACATGATCATACACTACCAATTAAAATAAAAACTTTGATATGAAGTACAAACAACACATCAGAACAATTGAATACACTTACACTTACACAAGCCCATATCAAAACAACAAATTATCAAATCAAAAAGAGTCGCATATAACTTTGTTGCAACAATCCCAACCCAGTTGGCCCTCTCTTCAGCAAAGCACTTGAATACAAGCCCAACAAAACACTTGAATACAAGCCATCTTCAATAACTACAATATCTGAATTAAAATCAATAACTATTGTCAAATGAATCAAAACCAAACTCAACTTATATTTATTGGTCTCTCCACTTGATATAGGAAGACATTTTAATATTTAAAGATCTAAACAAAAACCATACTTTGATAGGAAAAAGATATCCTCCTATTAAAATACTAGTGATTGTGTAAAAGGAACAAAATTTTCATAAAATCGATATGTCTCATCTCATGTGCAACAATTGTCGTCTAACAAGTCACTATTGCGTGAGAGTAGTTATTTTATAAAATTTATATAATAATAATTTAATAATTTAATACTATTAAATATCAATAATAATTAAAGAGTATAAAAAAAAAACGGAACCGAATTTCCAACTCTGGGACCACAACAAGAGTAGTTTTAAGTATTAATTAATCTTCACTTTTATTCCTTTCATATCAATAAACCAGAAGAAGCAAGTGCAGAAAAAGTACCTTAAGTGATTAACTTAACTCTACTCAAAACTCCACTCATCACTAACTACTTTCACTTTCAAACACGACGGCGTAACCGCGACGCTAGTTTTCATCCTCAATCGCCACCATGTCTCATCGACAAAACCAAAGCCAAAACCAACAGCCTCTGTTAGAAGACCAACAGGACGAAAGTGCATACGATTCATCCGACAAAATCGTCATTATCGGAGAAGACGAATCCGAAACCGACATCGACAACGGAGTTCGAGTTCCGCCTTTTTCATGGAAGAAGCTCTGGTTATTCAGCGGTCCTGGTTTTCTAATGAGTATAGCTTTTCTGGATCCTGGAAACTTGGAGGGAGATCTTCAATCCGGTGCGATTGCAGGTTACTCGTTGTTGTGGTTGCTTATGTGGGCTACGGCTATGGGGCTTCTTATTCAACTTTTGTCGGCGAGGTTGGGTGTTGCTACCGGGAGACATTTGGCGGAGCTTTGTAGAGAGGAGTATCCTACTTGGGCTAGGATTGTTCTTTGGTTGATGACTGAAGTTGCGCTTATTGGTTCTGATATTCAAGAGGTTATTGGAAGTGCTATTGCTATTAGGATTTTGAGTAATGCCACTGTTCCTCTTTGGGCTGGTGTTGTTATTACTGCTTTAGATTGGTAATTTCTTTTTCAACTTACTATTATGTTTGTTTTCATTCTGAGTCGTATTTACAAAACCGGTTTGTAGCGTGAGAACGGCTCCAAGAGACGTGGGGGTCTCTTATTAGTACTTGAATTTATGCTGGGATGGGGAGTGGGGTATATAGCATTTTATTGGGGACATGATGTTGTTGGTGCAAAGATGAATAAATGATGAACAAAGGAAATATTCTATTAAGAATGACGGTTACAAAACATGATAATAGTTACAATGATTGTCACCCTATTTATAAGCTAAAATTAGGGTTACTAGAATAAGATAAAATACTAAAATACCCTCTAACAAACTTAGGGGCTAAGAAAATAGTATAACTAAATAAATATGAGAAATGTGATTGAATGATTATGAAATCCAAAGCGTGTGTGGATGGACACGAAGCTTTAGATTCGATTTGTCCCTACTGGTTTCTTGAAATTAGATGCAATAGTGTTTGGGAATCCTCTTTTGGATATTTTAGAGATTCTTTATATCGATTACATGTGTTATGTGTACTATCAAACATATCGTTTGATGATAGTTTACGGCACCGTAGTTACTTAACTTCAATTTGTGCGTAAGAGAAGAGAGGGAATGATTTGGAGTTTTGACTTTGGGAAAGTTTTTGTCTTTTGGAAAGAATATATGAACATAAATCATTTAGTCCAAAATCGGAAATATTGATGAGTCCATGATCAAGTGTGCTTTTTATAGTTGTAAAAAAAGTGTCTTTTTTGGTTTGTATTGGCATTTAAGAAGCTATTGGTTCAAGCTTTTTATTTTTTAAACAATGTATATAGTACTTAAAATTAAACAATTAACTTCTATGTGGTTGCCTTGTTACAGTTTTATTTTCCTCTTTCTTGAGAACTATGGTGTGAGGAAATTGGAGGCATTTTTTGCTGTTCTGATTGCTGTTATGGCTCTTTCGTTTGCATGGATGTTTGGTAAAACAAAGCCAGATGGCCTCGATGTTCTTGTTGGTAAGGACTTTATTTCGTCGATTCGGAGTTTGAACATGTGCTATATACAATTTGGAATTTGTCTTCATTTCAATTAAATTTTCTGGGTGTGCTCGCGCTTCATATCTTATACATGCTTTCATTTTATCTTTGTAGGTATTTTGGTTCCTAAACTTAGCTCCAGAACTATTCAACAAGCTGTTGGAGTAGTTGGTTGCATTATCATGCCTCACAACGTGTTCTTGCATTCTGCACTTGTTCAATCAAGACAGGTTGACCCGAAAAAGAAAGGCCGTGTTCAAGAAGCTCTTAAATACTACTCGATAGAGTCCACCATTGCGCTTTTTGTGTCCTTTGTCATTAATATATTTGTCACAACTGTGTTTGCTAAGGGCTTTTACGGTACTGAAATAGCCAATAGGATCGGTCTCGTAAATGCCGGACAGTATCTTCAGGAGAAGTATGGAGGTGGAGCATTCCCAATCCTTTATATATGGGCTATCGGGTTATTAGCAGCCGGTCAAAGTAGCACGATTACTGGTACATATGCTGGGCAATTCATCATGGGTGGTTTTCTGAATTTGAAGTTGAAAAAATGGATGCGGGCTTTGATTACGCGGAGTTTTGCAATCGTTCCAACCATGATAGTTGCTCTTATATTTGACACCTCAGAAGAATCATTAGATGTTCTAAATGAATGGCTTAATGTTCTTCAGTCGGTACAGATCCCCTTCGCATTGATTCCGTTGCTTTGTTTGGTGTCGAAGGAACAGATAATGGGCACTTTCAAGATCGGCTCTGTCCTCAAGGTATATATACGATTCCATTGCATTTTGGATTCATTTTATAATAGTCATGGCTCATAATTGTCTTATAATTTCATTAGACTATTTCCTGGCTTGTGGCTGCTCTGGTGATAGTGATAAACGGCTATCTTTTGCTGGAATTCTTTTCATCTGAAGTGAACGGAGCAGTGATCACCGCTGTTGTGAGCGTAATAACAGCTGCTTATGTTGCATTCATAATTTACCTTATTTCAAGCGCCGCTACTTTTCCATCATGGCAAAGTTTAACTCGATCAAAGACAGTTACCACCACCACGGAGAGTTGAGCAGTCACAAAGATAGCAGCTACCACGCAAAGTTTAGCAGTTAATCGTATATCGTAAAATCATGAATTAGAACATGATATGCTGGTAGAGGATATTTAATCAATATTTGTGCCTTGTTATGTTATTTATATACATAATTTGCAATCATTCAGGGGCAGGGACACCTTATTGGTTGTTTGTATTTCAATGAAACAAGTCAGAGTAGATGTTACTGACTACTGTAAAATTTGATTTACAGTGGAGCTGTAATCATACCTTTTGAGATTATGATGTTAAGAATGTTGTTTTTAGGTTAAGTTGTAAATATTTTGTATTCTGCTTATCAGGGATCATAGAACCTAGAAATAAAATGCATGTCATTGTTGTTTGTAAATTCTCATTTATCCCTCGAGTCATGGCAATGCACGCCAGAGCCCAGAGATTGCAATCAAATGCAGTTGATGCGGGAAGCGGATCCTCTTGTTTTAGTGCAGGAAGTGCATTTTGACTTTCTCTCTTTCTAAAAATGCAATCTCTCTCGTCTTGTTTCTCTTTTTTTTTTCATCTCTTTCTAGCTTCTCTCATGAAAATGTCTAAAAATTTTGGCTAATATTCCTAATATACTCTCAAGTAAATATTTTATTTATTCTTTCTCTTTTAATTTTTTTCTGTCTTATATGATTATGAGGAATGTTACTATAAAATCATATTTAATTTATTTTTCTTATGAAATGATAATTAAATTTTTTAATTAATATGAAATGTTAAAAACGTCTTATAATTTTAAAAAAAAATATATTAGAATTGTTGCATTTTTAGAGTCACATTTTCCGAAAATATATTTCTAATCCTCGAGACAAACATCCCTTAAATCAAATATTAAATGATATCAACAAAGTTGTACATATTAAGATCTGCTGAAACACAAACTCCTAAACTTTTACTAAAATAATTTTTTAATTGTTTTAGAATATGTTTTATTTAAATTTGTGAAAGTTGACTTGTGTTTACATAAGTTTTAACTCGCTCTTTTTTTTTGGAGTTACAAGAGTGTAAGAGTTAGCATCTTTAATTACTATGAAAACATTAAAGACTTGATTTTTGGAGTTACAAGAGTGTAAGAGTTAGCATTTTTAATTACTATGAAAACATTAAAGATTTATGTCTTAAATTGAAATTGGTATTAGAGTTATTTTATTCGTGAATTTATAAATTATGATGTTACAAGGCATATATTAGGATTTAGTTTATTTAAAATTATAATCCTTAATTTTATAATAAACAATTATCTCTATTCATAATTATCTTAATAATATGAAAAACTCATAATTATTTCAACAATATGAGCTATACTCTCAACAATTCATAATTATCTCAACAATTCATAATTATCTCAATAATGCGAGTCATATTCAATAATCTCCACTTTGGCGAATATCAAACCCCTATGAAGACTTCTTGTATAACGATTCGTCTTTGAAACTAAGGAGGTACACATTCTGCTTAACACTGATAAATATGTAATATGTCCAAACAGTGTTTGAACTTGTTACTGATGACTGAGTTGGTCGACATATCAACTGCATTCTTTAAAGTGTAAACTTTTTAAAGTAATATTTGTTCGGACGCCAAGAAGTCTCTGATCTTGTGGAACCTCACATCAATATGATTGGTCTTAGCATGATACACCTTATTGTTCACCAAATAGATAACACTCATGCTATCATAGTGCAACTGAACTCCAGCTTGCTCAGCACTCAACTCTTTCACTAACCCTATAAGTCATAATGCTCCCTTGGCAGCTTCAGCTGCTGCCATGTATTCTGCCTTAGTTGTAGACATACTACTGTTATGTATTCTACCTTAGTTGTAGACATAGCTATTATGGATTGAACTGATGATTGTTGGAACAAAATTGTTCATATCCCTTGAATTTTGATGATAATCAAGTATTTAAAGAACAAATGAGTATACTAACATATGTTCAAGTGTGCATGATCACAAATTTAGAATTCACTATGAATTAATCATGTTGAAAGTATAAGTGGATAAGCAATGTTACTCAGATTTTGATTGATTAGAATCTGGTGACTCTAAATGTGTTCATCAGCCTTTGAAGGTTCAGACTCTGGTATAATGTTTCAGCCTATGATGATAACTCAGACTTTGAAAGCAAAAGGTGCCTTTGATTTGTACCTTATGCCAAAAGCAGACCAATATTGTCAAGCGCCAAATTATGGGAAGAACCAACAAGGTTTCGTTTTGCAAGGCTCAAGGAATGGTGATGTGACATCTTCAGCTTGTTCCACCTTTTGGTAGATACCTAGTACTTCAAAAGGTGTTGTGAATAATGTCATTATTCAATGGACAATGCTTCTAACCAGATACATTCTCCAATGTCTCTCTTGACATACTTATTCACTAAGTTAGCTCTTATTTCAAACCCTCAAATGACTCTTTCTCTATTTCTATAAAATGAAGCTAAATATTTGAAGGAAGGTGAACAATAACACAAAACATTAAAATATCTTGAGCATAACTCTGACTTCTGAGCTTTATTCGTAACAGTTATCTCATATGATCTTAAGATTTCTTATCTTTATATATCTTAGAAATCTTAAGAGGTTAAGAACATTTGTGGTTGTTAAGCAACTGTTATACTTCTGATTGTGTATCTAAGTATAATAGTTAAACTTTTCTACTAAATTATCTGTTTAAAGTATAAGAAGCTTTTTTCCCGCGTGGTTGAGCATTAAAGTCTCTTACATGTGTACTTGAGCAGTAAAGTCTCTTTTTTGGTTGATTGAGCAGAAGTCTTTTGTAAGGTTGCTTGAGCAGAAGTATCTTTCTAGGCTGATTGAGTTTGAAGTCTCTTGCAAGCGAGCTTGAGCAAACTGTAATTTGTTTGGTTATAGTAAAAAGCTCTTGTTGAGGCAAGGGGATTGGATTAATCTCAGTTGAGGAGAGAAATCAGGATAATCTTTGTGTGTTGCTTGCTTTTACTTCTGATCACTTTATTCATACTGATGTATATATTTATGATATCAGCCTCTTAATGTGGTTTAGATTCTGAAGTTCTATTATCATAAGCAAAACGATTTTTGGCATACCCAATTAACCCTCATTTCTTGTGTGTTTTCTCACATTCATTTGACATCAGAGCACAGTTTATGCATTAACACTTAACAGTGGTACAAAAAAGATCTTGAGAAAAATATAACCCTCTTCATGGCTGGTAGTTCTTCAGTAACTAGTCCTAAGAGAGATTATCCCCATGGCAGCAACAACCACAATCAAAGTACATATGGTCAAAATAAATATATTGTTAGACCACTAACATTCAGCGGTGACTCTATTGATTTTGAATGGTGGAAGAACAAGATGTACACTCATATCATTGGTTTGGATTATTAGTTATGGTACATCTTAGAAGATGGAATTGACTTTCAGGTCAATGGTGTTGGAATGGTTGTTAATAGGAAGTCTCTCACTTATTATCAGAAAAAGATCTATAGAAAATATCATAAAGTGATAGGTGTTCTTGTTGATGTCTTGCCTTATTTTGAGTATATAAAGATTATTGATAAATCTACTGCTAAGACTATCTTTAAATCTTTATGTACTACCTATGAAGGTAATCAACAAGTTTAAGAAGATAAAACAAATCTTATAGTTCAGCAATATGAGCTATTTAGAATGAAAGATGATGAGAAAATTTAATCTATGTTCTTATGTCTGGACTTCAGGTCTTGAACAACAGTTATACTACTTCGAATCATGTCAAGAAGATTCTTAGGAGTCTTCCTGCCAAATACAGACCTAAAGTAACTACTACTCAAGAAGCTAAAGACTTAAACACTCTAAGTCTTGAGAGTCTTGTTAGTAATCTCCAAATTCAAGAAATGGAGTTAAATGGAGATGAGCCTGAAAAACAAGTTAACGTTTTGGCTTTAATTCTGTTGAGAGGTCTGAGAAATCCTCTCAAACTAAAAAGCTCATAGAATCCAGTTATGATGAAGCTTCTGATGAAGAATTTGATGATGATGAATTAGATTTTATCATCAAAATATTTCAACACTTGGCCAGGAAAAAGAACAAACTTTCTAGTAAAATAAATGGTTTCAAATGGTCATATTATGGGAGTAAAGATTAGGATGGTTGTTACAACTACAAGAAGCCTAGTCACTTCATTGCTAAATGAAAAGAGAAAGAGAAAGATAGTAAGAAAAGGAAGAAGATAGTAAGAAAAATAAGGAAAGGAAGAGTAAAAAATAAGAGAAAGGGAAAGAAGAGGATAAACTCATGGAAGAGCTTGGATTCATCATCTTCATCATCTTCTTCTTCAATAAGGTGAGTTCCATAGTTAGTCCTAGCTTTGGGAAAGGAAGAAATACATGTTTTGGGGATTTAGGTTTTTGTATGAAAAACATGTTTAAGTGTGGATATAAAGCTAATATTTGATGATCTTGAAGTATTACATGTTATATTATGTTAATCCATGTTTGGTTGGGTGTTTGGATGCAAAGTGGGGATGTGGGTCTGAAGGTTTGGCCATGGATGACCTCTTGTTCACATTCTGCAGAATCTGAATTCAGTTTGAGTCGTTGTGCGAGCTTAAGGCGAGTTGCTCGCTAGTTGGCCGCAAAGCGGCCATAACCCAATTTTGCTTCTGGCTCTCCTTCCTCGTATGTTCGTTGTGCAAACTGAAATCAAACAACCTCGCTTTACAGCCGTTGTGAGACCGTGACATAATTATGTTTTCCCTTTTCTTGTTTTCTTCATAAATTTTGAACTGTAATTCATATTGAGACATGGTCGGAAGCGTCGGGAAGCTATTACAATGCTCTATGTGATAGATAGATTGGTATCGAATTCAATGAAAGTAGTATAATATGTGAACGGGTGAAGATAAACACCTTGTGTTGTGATGAATACCATTAGGGATGGTTGATAATTGGTAAGGGGCTTGGCTCCAAAAGACCTAGCTAATTATGTGATCACAAATTAACTAAGAACATCGG